GCACTATATTCTTGGTGTGCTCATGCACAAAGCGGAGCGTGCCATTAGATTGCTATCAATCTATCCTTCGCTACTCATTCATCCATTTGTAATTGCTACACCTATGCACATTTTCACACTTTCATGCGTCTTTTCTTTTGCCTATCCATCAGTAGTGTGCATCTAAGCAATCATGTCTCACATCCGTGCATTCAGGTCTGTCGGCCTACTCTCAGGTCTATCCACAGAGGCTTTCATATTCCACTCCTCTGTACATCCATCCATCCATCTGGCCATATTGTGTCATTCCCACACACATCAGCATGGATGCTGGCTGGTGTGCAATCATCCCTCTTAGTCTCCATTTCTGGCATGACAGATCTCTCACTTTGTTCCTTTTTTGACAAATGGACATTACAGACCTCAGTCAGTTCTTCTGACTATCCAATCACCCACTTATCCACCGCTTTTTCTTTTTCTCGCTACTCTCTTACATTGCTCCTCTGCATCTTCGATGAAAAGATAAAAGCTCAGGCTGTGTCTTCCTTCCACCTACCCGGCTATCATGTACCTCATCACACAATATCTCTCCTCCTGCTCCTTTATTCTTCTGTTTTTTCTCTACCTCCCGGCCAAAAGCCTGTAATTATGGACCGTTGCTGCAAGACATGGAGTATCTGCCTTTCCATTATCGCTCATTCATCTCACATGGTCTTCAGATATATACAGGAACAGTCACCCATGTGTCTATGCATGTGTGTATGTGTAAGGTTGTACTGAATGCATGTGTCCCTTTGGATATGTTCAATTAGGGTGATATCGCCTAAAATCAATATCAAGATTAATTGTCACATTTATCGTAGTAATGGTTCATTCAAAACGTAAGTTTTAAAATGCGTTTGGCAACAAAATCTGTCTACTAAGAAGAAACTTTGAATTATTTGCACTGTGAATTCATGGATTTGGACCTCAAGTAACATTCAACATACAATAGTAAGAACTTTGCTTCTCGTCTGCACCTGTGGCAACTTCTGTTCTCCAAAACTGAGCCACTTAAATTGGTTAAAAAGTTAGCTTCTGTCAGGGAGTATGCTAACTGCATGTGAACATAATGAAAGCAAGCACAAGGGAACTAATATAAAGTGAACAGAAAAAGAAAAATAATGCTGATAAATCAATTATTCATTTAACTACAATAACATCATGACTGTAGATGCTCACACAGCTGTCAAGGACATCGCATGTACATGATACCGCTTTGTTTCCAAGCCATTAGGTCAGTTATCGCACTGTGCTCACAAGTGCCACTCAGAGTCATAAAGAGCCGACCATAAGAACCAGGGATTACAGTTCATCAGCAGCATCACTAGAGATAACTTAATATAACCCCGTGTTAATTGCCAATATGCTGTGGACAGCAGACTCAAGCATTAATGAATTTTTGCAAAGCCCACGACTGAATTAAAACATACGCTGATCTGGCATCAATGGTGGCCGATGTGGTCACAAGATCATATCACTGAGTTTTTGGGGTAGAATCGCATGATCCGAAGCACAATTCCCCCCCAAAGATCTAATGAAGCTCATGTGATCAGATGAAAAAGCCTGTAATTTTACCTCTAGGCTAAATGTCCAACACACAAATCTCTGCATCCTATTTTTTTTCTGACTTTGCTCTGATGAGACGTAGTGACTCCCTTTCTGATGTTTTGGTGCTTCTTTTAGGATTTTGGTCCATTCGCTGCTATTATTCATCCTCATTGCTGTGTTCTGATTACAAAAAGTTACACCTTCATGATGCAAAGTGTTTCTAATGAGGATGGATGTCTGTTCTGCAAACAGACTCCAGCTCTGCCGTCTTGAATTGCAGTTGGCAAATGCAGTAGCTGACTTCATGGTGTATGTGTTCTGCTCTATTGCCTAAGTGAGCCTGGCGTACTGGCACATGAACCAGTTCTTCATGTGTTGCAAGTTCTCATTGGACTGGCCCTAAAGTGTACAGCGAATCTCCTGGAGAGCAGAGCGAAGATGATTGTTGAGTTGAGACAGTGGAGTCTGAGTCTGTCCGTGGAGTCAGAGACTCACTGGAGAGTAGCCATTTATAATAGTATATTGTGATACATCCATCCATCCATTCATTCATTTTCTCCCATTTACCCAGAGTTCTGCTGCGATGGCAGCAGGCTAAGCAGGGTGCTACAGACATACCTCTCCCCTGAAAACATTTTCCAGTTTCTCCTGGGGTATCCCAAGGCCAGATGAGATATGTCATTCCTCCAATAGGTTCAGGTTCTACACTGGTGTCTCCTTCCAAGTTGCCTTGAAAACCTCCAAAGTAAGGGTTGCATCCTAATCAGATGCCTGAACCACCTCAGCTGTCTCCTTTTGACATGAAGGAGCAGAGACTCTAAGCCCTTGCCGGATGTTCAAGCTCCTATCTTATCTCAAAGGCTCAGTCAGCCACCCTTCAAACACCCCGACGAAGCAGGAACAAACAAGGAGCTGCAGCACGCCGTCTGCAGCCAGGCTCAGGAGGTGAACTCACCGACAAGCGTCTGGTGGCTGAGCTTTGACCCATGGGGCTTGGCCGGGCTTAGCAACATGAAGCTGCCACCTAGCGGGTCAGCTACCTGCAGGCATCGGTGGTGGTGCGAACCGGATCGCAGGTAAAGGTGTTCTGACTTCTGACATCTAGTTTTATCGACACTGTGACACAGTTTAACTTCATGGAAAAATTGCTGCTCCTGTGATTTGGGTATTGTATTTGGCAAACTTGCGATTTTGATAATATTTCAATAACACTGAATAACAGCCAGGACTGTTACAACAGTAATCTGGCCGGCCTGCTGGCAGGGAGATATGAGAAAGAACAAGCTGGGGCAAGCCAGTCAGCAGCAAGTGAACCTTCAAAATAAAATGCTTACACATAGCACCCTCAAGTTAACTACACCATCTGCACGATTCCACTGAAAAGCAGATCATATACTGGATTAAGAGCTTACATGAGCCAGCCTTAATCTACCAAAAAAAAAAAAAGATAACAAACTAATCAAATCTCGAAAGTACCATATGTGTCCATGCACGGTATACACTTTTTTTCCAGCTTTCATTCTAAAGAAGTAGCAAAGATTCACTCTTTTCTCCCTGTCTGTTCATCCCTGCCTCTCCACAGAAACACTCTTGTAGTTCAAGGTGGAGATAATGACCTTACCTCCATTTTCAAGGAAACAAAAAATCACATTTTGACCTGGAAATAGCTGGCAACAGGAAATACATGGACAAAGTACATGTCAGTGTGTGAAAAAAGAAGCGTGTACAACAGTGTGAGAAGAGTGACGTGTGTGTGCGTGAATGTATGTGCAAGAGAGTCCATGTGTTTCATCAATCCCTGCAAAAATAAGAGCTGTAATATTGTGTAAGAAAGTCTGTTGAAAGAGTGTGAGTGTGGGAGGAAAGTAAGCAGCAGAAAGCAGGAGTGTGTGATGGACGAACCGCAGACTTTATGAGGCAACTAGTTTTACAAGGTCTAGTCCCCACTGCTGAACTTTTCATTGCTGAGTGACGTGTCGCTTGGTTTGCTGTGAAACCTTTCTCATTCTTTCTTTTTTTTTTTTATCTCATTCTCTGCTATCCATTTCTCTCTCTGCTTGCTTTCCTCTTCATCCGAGCTCCCCAACCAGCTCTCTCATGTCTCTGTCTGTTCCCTTCTGCCCCTCCCTCCCTGTCTGGCAGTAAAGGCTGATGGAGTGTGAAATTAGAAAGTGTATCATATTCTGCTCTGTGGCTCCATGTCCTGAGCTATAAGCTACAGCTAGTCAGAGTGAAAAATAACATGCAGTGAAACAGATACATTAACATGGTTTTGTGTGTAGCTCCGTGTGTGTATGTGTGGTGAAAAGGCAGACAGAGGACAGTTTAGCTAGCCACAGCTTATCTAAAATTACTTATCTCACGGATGATACACTGGGCCTTCTTCACAAACTACAGAAGCGAGCGCGGATTCAAAATACGGACACACAAACACACACCTTTTTCATTTGCTGAGCGCACAAAATTTGAAGACCCTGTTGTAAACGCAACTTTCACAGTTTTGCCGAGGAAAGAACACACAGCGAGAGCTTTAAAGATGTAGGATAGGTTCTCTCGTTACCTTCTATCCCGCAGGGAAAACACGTTGTTTAGATGTGTAATATTAACAGAGATGCAGACTTGTCTGCAATAGCATGGCAGAATGTAGATTACATTCAAACAAGTTACACTTATTCTAGTGCAGTAAGTGCACATTTCATACTCTTGTTGCTAGTATCTGTTTTAATATGTGCAGGAAGAAGTGCTTCATGTTTGAAGGAGAGCGTATTGTGACCTGGGAGAACTGAGGAGGCTTAACACAAAGATGCCACATTTGTTGCATAGTAATATTCCTGCAGCAATTAACAAAGTCCAATTCTTTTCCGTCTTTGTCAGTAACAACTACGAAATGAAACCAAATGTCACAGTGCCTTTGCTTTGCATTGGCATTGTAAGAACCTGCTTTAATCTGCTTTTCAGCTTCATTTGTTGACCCAATCCTTTTGGTCAGAACTAAATCCAAGGACTCGTAGTTAATTTCTGCGCTCCAAGCCGCAGCAAACTTTAAAACCGCTCACTCAAAACATGACCAACAAAGGTACCCTGTGGTATCTGGCACAAAGAAGTTAGCAGCAGATCATTAAATTATATTGTAAGTTGTGAGTTGGAGCCTGTGGAATTTGGATTGCCTCACCGCAAAACTTGCTGTTTCTGAGACACTCAGACCCAGTTGTCTGGCCTGAACTATTTGATTCTAGTCATAGTTGCTCAGGTGTTCCTACTTGCTGATTGGCTTTAGCATCCAACCCATTGAATATGTGAAGCAACGTTGCCAATATATCCCAAACCTTTACTCTCATTGGTAACCAGACAATCATAATGTCTTGTCTTATTGGTGTGCATGCCTCTGTTTAAATTTAACCATCATAAATAGAAACTCTCTGATTTTTGTTTTACGTCAGGTTGATTGACAGCCTTGTGGGAAGTACTTGATAAAATACAACTCTGTGCAGGTGTGCATGTTTTTGTGTGTGTGTGTTTACCTGCGTCAAACCAGACACCTCTCCTTTCTGAAGCGGTGCAGTGATGGAGGGGGTGAACGGCTTGCTGTCTTCCACTGGTTGGCCTTTCAAGAAGTGCTTTCCTGCTTCGTAGATGTCCACCTCAACCATCTTCCCTTTGAATTCGACCTTCTTAGGTACAAGCACCTGCAAATCAAGACACATCATGGGGAAAAAAAACAGTCAAAGAAGCACAATTAACCGAGAAATACTCCATATTTATGTTTTTGGATCGGTCACATTCCCAAAACTTTTAAGTAGAACACATGGAGATAGTGTTTAGTAATGAACTACAAGCACAACAAATCATGCATTCATATATAACCATTCCTTCAGCCAAATAACATACCATCTGCATGTTTCTTTACATCTGTTTATTACATTTTCAATTAACCACTGCTCAGAGCTGGTTTCCCCCAATGCTGCCCACATTGTTATTTAGATAGCCCTTCACTGCTTGGAGAAAAAACAGGGGTCCGAGTGCTTTCTGTTCCATCTGCGAGACAAACCAGAGCTAGTTGCTGGTTTGTCTTATTATTTCACCATGGCAACTATAAATCTTGGCTGATCACAGCAGGAAGGAAGGCAAAACAAAGAGTTATAATTACGACTTTGTGTGAAATGGAATTTGTCCTTAATGACTTACCTCTGTAAATACCGAATGTGTGAAAAAGTCGTCGTCTTTCAAAACAAATTTCAAACTAACTACAGAGCTGACAGGCTGACGCCGCCGTAGGATAAGACTGCTGATTTATTCCTCTTCTTTTGCTCTCGTGTTCAGATCCAATCTCTGTGGTAAACACTTACTGGATGATTTGTATTGTGTAATTATTGGTGGGATTTAAACTGCAGTTATAAGAGCTCGTGAAAATTATAATCACGACTAAAGTGGGAGTTTTCTTTGTAAACATGCCGTGATTTATTCTACTTCCGAATCCAGCTATGGCAAATGATCTGACACTACCTGACTATTTTCTTTGGAAACACTTATTTATTATTATACAAGTGTAAAGATCATACGTAATTGCTACATAATGATGATAGTTTACCGATCCTATTTTTTTTTCTTGCTTCTTTTCAAGCCTTGGACAAATTCGGGTTGACTTCGACGGGGTGGTTTCGTGCTGACTCAGACCGTCTGGTGGTCTGTCTAACCATTACGCCACTCTGCAGGATTAAGTCACTGACTGGGCAGAGAATAGCTCATGAACCCGGTGGAGAGATTGTTACCGCTGTGATGGCAGGAGCGCGCCTGCCTCAGTATTAATCTGTCAGTCTTTATCCAGCTGGTGGAATATGATAGGAGACGGAGCCCGGGCCAAACAGACATGCAGCCGGCACCACACCTGCCCAATCAACACACCTGCTGCTCGACACTCTGACCACTGCGAGGGAGTGTGTGTGTGCATGTGAGTAGCCGGCAACCAGACTGTGAGCAGAGAGGTAAAAACAGCAGGGCGGAAGGGGGGGAGGCAGCACTGTGTAGGTGAGGGTCATTTGAGGCCCATTACATGGTGATTAAATGATGAAAGAGCTTGTCCGATTTCATTGGAAACCCCCTCTGCTGCTTCCTCCCTCAACCACTAACTGATACACACACACACACACACACACAGACACACACACACGGGCGGGTTGGGCACCTATTATAACCGTCAGGATTGATATCCATCTGATGGTGTAAAAGGGAAAACTAGGCCACTTGTTCACACTCACACCTCTCTCTCTATCTTATTCCCCACTTCCCACAACCCACGCAACCTCCCCTCTGCACCTCCTTTTCTTTGCTCCCACAACTCTTCCCTACAGTCGTATTCTTAACTCCTAATGTTGTGTCATGGTTGCTTTTATCCAGAACGATGAGGGTTGATCTTTAAAATTTAAATGCATGTATTAATAATAAATTGCATCAAAAATAAATATTAGATCTTGGATGAAAGTGAGGAAGATACAACCCATGTGTACACAACTACATGTGTCCAGTGGATTTAGGCGTCTTTCCTTAAGTAGACACATTCAGGGACATATTGGCATGTAGTTGTTTTTTTTCTTTTTTTCTCCCAAGTCAAACTGTGATTTAAGAGAACATGCCAAATACTTAATGTCCAAAAAAAAAAAAAAAAGGAGAAAAAAAAAATGGGGCAGGAAAAAACATCAAACGCGTCTCCTCTTGAGTACAGTCGCGCATGACACACATGCCTGGATACGCAGAAGTGCACACATGCGTGAAGGAGTTGTGCACTCCTGCAACACACACATGAACCGAGTAACACTTGTAACTTAAGTTTATAGCCTGCAGAAGGAGGTGCAAAGGAGGAGGAGAGGAGGGGAGGAGAGGAAAGTGGAAGGGAGGAAAAATTATTACCATCCCCTGCCCTCCCTGCTAATAAAAAGCATAACTTCAAACATGTTTCTGATGATGGTTAAAGCAGGAGGAAATTGATTTATTTGAAGATGTTTTAAAGTGAATTTTTCACAGGTTGAGAGAGGGTCTTTGAAGCCATGCGAGTGTGTGTGTGTGTGAGCAGCTGTGTGTGTGTTGGTAGGATGGAATGTTCATGTCTTTAGGGCTGACCTTAATGTTAGTACAGTAAAAAAAAAAAAAAAAAAAAGGAGCAAAAACTACTGCTGCTATCAGCCGCCAAATGCTCTCATGACCACCGCAGGGTGTGTGTGTGTGTGTGTGTTTGTGAGTATGTTTGATATTATAGCTAACCTACTTTAGTCGATACAAGCTTAAGCTTCTGACACCTGCTGTGAGTACTTCTGTGACATGCAAAGCAAACCTTCTGATCAGATTTACTAAGTGTGAAAATGAGGAAGAGTTGGATTAGCTTCACATACGAAATCATCAAATGCAGATTCATTTACAGCTTTTTTCCACTGTGTGTTTTTCCCGATGCTGTAGGTCAGCTGAACTGTTTTGCTGTGCCTCCAAAGCAACAGCATCAACACTCTCTCAACATACATTCACTCTCTGAGTCGCCCCTTTAGCCAGAATTAAATGTTCTACTTCTTATTATCTCTTAGTAAACGCAACATTACTGTTACTGGTTCATACAAAAAAATCAACTCTCTGTTTGATTTCTGATTGAGAATTCCCCTACCTTTGACTTTAAGGTTTTATTTTGGTCACTACCTAAACAGCCGGCTCTATCCAGATACATTATTTGACATAATAATACTTGCAGCTTTTTAAAATTTTAATATTAGCCTGTATAGTAAGGAACAAAAAAATGAAATTGCTATGTTTTTACATGTATCTCATCATAAAAGGCTGGCAATAGAGAGATCTTTTCATAATTGTGTAGAGAAGGTTGTCTGAAATCTGGCAATATCACAACCATGATGGTGGGACACTGTATAACTCATAAATTGGGGAAAAATCCAATATTACTTTGCAGAAGTTTGATCTCTCTTCATAACATTATTACTTTGGTATGTTCAAATATGTGGCCCAACAAGCATAATTACAAAGCTCTGGTTCTGCTCTTTCTGGTGATCTGATATTAACATATTACGTTGATATCTGTGCACTGATTGCATTGCATAGATATTAACATATCTTGATATTAACATATCTATGCAATAAGGAGTTCATGACTAATTCAAGCAAGAGTAATGTGTGTGGAGATGGACACAGAGCAGCTTGTAAGTATGATTTAATCTGATGTAAATTCAAAATCACTGTTGGAAAGTCCAGTGGCTTTATTTGATATGTGCAAAACCTCACTGCAATGAGGAACAAATAAACCGAGAAGGTGGTTTGTGAATGTGGACGCAAACTGCATCTGTGTGGCTCTAAGGATTATTATTTCTGTGTCAACCGTCCTACCTGTTCGTAGAACTTGTTGTGAGCTACGTAGTATTGGCCATCAAATGACTCCTCTGTCACCAGCACATGTTGTCTTTCTCCTACCTGCACAGAGAAAGAGAGAGAAAAGTGATGAAACTGCATCTGCTCAAACAATAAACATCAAACACATATAAGTTCATGGAAGCATCAGTCTCTCCCATCATCCTTTTCATCGCAGCCGAGACGAAAATGTGTTTTCATTTGTCCATCTGTCTCACTTTGCCATCTCTTTTAGAAGCATTCTGATTATGGCAGTAAAAAGTGACATAGGAAGTCATTTGTATTTTTGAGGCATTTGCAGATTGTAAATGTTGCCATGACAAAGGAAAAAACAAATGTAATTATTTAGACCCAAAATCCCACTGTTATAGGGATTATTTGCCTCAGCACAGCCACTGGTTTCACAGCACACTGAAAAATATACACTGATTTTATCTGCAAGGCAAACATCTACTGATGTACAATGTCCAGTAGTTAATAATAAACTGCGGTACATATGTAAGCATTCTATATGGGTCCACAGCTTTTGTCGTACAGGTCGCGTTTAAGAGCCGTGTATCTTCTTCCGTTTTAATTCAATGCAAGAAAGCTGCCATGATCGCGCTTCTATTCAGCAAGACCCCAAATTCAAGCAATAAAAGCTTTTCTCTTTTATGTTGTTTTCAAGTTTTATGTTACTGGAGTTCACCTTCTAATTACAGTCTCAAGGTTTCCGAGCCACTTCAGTTTTAGCACTTCGCTGAGAGGATGGTGAGCACTATTCAGCTCAGGTCCTTACTAAAAAGGAAACTGAATAAAAAAATAAAAAAATAAAAAAAGTCCATACAGGATACAATTCAAATGTGAACAGACAGTCTACAAACAGTCTATTCAGGAAATCAGAAAATCAAATGCTACAAGGACTCCAAATCCAGCGATTTATTATTGGACAAAATGACAGAAAGCACATACTTTTCGTTGAAGAATGTTGTTGACTCAAAGAAGGCGAAATAAGAGCAGAAAGTTTTATTGAAAACACTGCAGGCATGAATAAAACCACCTCGGGGTTGACTTCGACAGACAGGGAGCATCTTTTCACACTCGCTCCCTGAGGATGACAATCAATCCATGACTACAATCCATTTCCAACAAATATTTGACTGTTGCCTCCACACTTATTCTATTTGACGTCGTTCTGAATGAAAACAGTCGATACTTTGTTAGTCCGACCTAATGCGTCTCCTGGAGTGGCTCTGAGTGACGGACACTTCCTCTGGGGGCATTCACACCTGTACATTAGGTATTTATAACCTGATTGCTGTGCACGCGGCATCCTAACGACCACAGAAAGTTTAGATCCAAGCCGGCAGTTTAGCAAACAGCGCTGCACAGTAGGACCACCTGGGCTTTAAACCTCAGTACACATGTTTGAAAATGTTGGGAACATGGTGTCCTGTGTGCTCGGCGGGCAGCATTTGCATTTTAACTCTGTCAGTGATGAGCCCTGTACTCTAAAACTGTGCTGACTGATCATTTCCTTAGCAATATGTCAAAGCCTTAGAAGTCATGGCTCTGACATATTGCCAAAGGTGTTTCCATTTTTTGCAGACACCCATATTCCGTGCTCTTTTCTTCCCTCTTTCCTGTGCTTATCCTTTTGCTTCCATCCCTCTCTACTATCTCTGGGCGTTCTCTTTGTTGTTCATACCTCTCTTCCTTCCACTATAACTCCCTCTCATCCTATTCTCCCACCTGCACAGGCACACTGACAGACTTAAAAAGAGATCAAATAAATCACTTATTTAATTTTCAGAAAAGGTGGGTGGAAAACATATCCTTTGAACATTATTACTGGATGACAAGCATTTGATTTGGACCCTTTGTTTTTTTTTTTTTTCTCCTTTGGATTGAAGACAGATGTCTCTGCTGAGAGCCTAAAATTCTGAGCACATGAAAAAGATTATTTTCACAGCGCTTTAAATGTATTTATGGGGAAAAATGTTTTTCTTTTAAAAGGCTTAACATATATATTAATACAGAAAACGTGTCCATTTTTGTTCTTTTTGCTAACCACAGCCACTGACCATAATTTGTCTCACCTACTGTACATGCAGTGATTAATACATACATTTGATTTGTTCTAATTTCCCCCTTGACAGATGCATCACTTCAGAAAATAACAAACATGTCTTCACAGAAAACCTTCAGTTTTAGTCATTTTGCTCTGTGCCAACAAACACACTACGTTACCAAACTCTTTTTCATCTCATCTGCAGTTATAAAACTATGAGCAGAGCTGTACTGAAGCAGCTACATGAGAATTTGTGTGGATCTGCCTGCCTTAATAACATCTAATCCTTGTCTAAACAACCAGCAGTGAGCAATGATCTGGGATTAAGGTATATCTTAATATGTTGATTGAATGGTGAATCAGCGGCCGATTGTACATAAAGACACCAGCGTGACACATGCGAGATAAAGACAAACTCGGTATATCAAAAGCTTCGCACCTGAGTCACACCACCGGCAGTATGTGTGTCTGTGAATGTTTGCAATACACAGAGTCTCTAAAAAGTATTCACCTGGCTTGGAGGTTTTCTCCTTTTATTACTTTTCAACACTGAATCATGGTCGATTTAATTTGTCTTTTCCTGACAAGAGTTTACAAAGAAATACTCTTTCATGTCAATTAAATAAAAATATAAAAGAAGTGATTGCATAGGATTTCCCCCCTTTTAAAGTGATTCACCTGACTGAACATAGCTGCATCCAGTTGGTGCTAGAAGTCAGACAGTTGGTGAAATGGAGAACATCTGAGTGCAGTGAATGTGCCTCAGTGACTGTCCTATGAAGACACCCGTATCTGGAAGGTTCAGTCACTGGTGAATTAGTACTCCTGGATATAACGACACCATGAAGACAAAAGAACAACAAGTTTATAGCCTGCAGAAGAAGAAGTCGCTGAATATCCCTTGGAGTACAGTTAATTCCATCAATAAGAAATGGAAGGAGTATGACGTTAAAAAATCTGTCTCAAGCAGGCTGTCCTCATAAATATAGGGACCATACGTGAATGAGGGACACCTATGACTCCTCTGAAGTTGTTACAAGCTTCAGCAGCTATGATGGGAGGGACTGTGCATACAAGAACTGCTTTATGGTTGAGTGACAAAGAGAAGGCCACTGTTGAATCATTCTCTCATTACTTGAGTTCTCTAGTTGGCCTGTTGGCGTGTCTGAGGTTCTGTGGTCGATTGGTTTTTGGTTTTTTGGGCTGATGATAGCGCTTTCTGTCTTTCTGTCTATCCGTGTTTGTGTGTTTGGATGACGCCTGGTGGTGGCCGTCTTCTCATTCAGGGCTTCTTCTCCGTGGCGCGTGTTTGTGGGCTCGTCATAGTGCAGGGGTGAGTTCATTGTGCAATTTATTGAGCAATGTTTGGGGACATCCTGATGCAGTCTGCAAGAGAACTGTGACTTGGGAGGAGATTTATTTTCCAGGAAGACAATAAGTCCTTGAAAAGGCCTGACAGAGCTGGAGCAGGTTTGCAAAGTAGAATGTGGTAAAATTGAAGCATCCAGATGTTCAGGCTGAGTGAGACCTATCCACACAGGTTCAATGCCATCATTGTGACTAAAGGCACATCTACTCAATACTGACCTGACTTGAGGGCGGTGAATACTTATGCAGTCACTTTATACTGAACATGATTCAAAGTTGAAAAGCAATAAAAGGGAAACCTTCAACGGGGAGAGAACACTTTTTCTAGGTGCTGTATTTATTGGTTTCAGTTTGTGTGGCTGCCTGTCCTCCCTTGCATATCTGCATACATGCGAGTTTGCATTTAGATTTGTGTTTACTCCATCTGTTGAAAAACGTCACGGCATACCAAACGAGACACGTATGTCTTTGCACAGCGAGGCGTTTATTTACTTCCCCATCCAGAGAATAACATCCCATGATACCCGGCAGATCCACTACAGATTTGTGGGATCATGAGTTTAATTGATAATTAATCCACATCATAACAAGGATGATGAGAGAACTGTGGCTTTGAATTGTAATCAACATTTTCATCTGTGACTCAAATAAAGGAGCAATTCACTCAATCATCATCCAAACTGCTTTGCTGCATCTGTGGCCTTTTTAAAAAAAAATTTTAGCATGCAAATGGATTATGGTTCTGACCAGAGTGAAACGCAGACAGCACATGCTGCAGTGGTACTCTGACAATACTGAATAAGAATGATCATAGCAGTATATTTACTTTTCATGTTCTTTAGTACATCTGTGGCATCAATACAAGGGCAACCATGTTTAAACTCACTTAGCACACAGAGTGGACCTATAATGAGGGCATGTGCTACGGCCCTTGGGCGCGAGTTTTGGTGTCGTTTGTTTGTGAATCCCTTTCAGGTGGCGCCCAGAGGGAGTGGCCAGGTGCAGCTGATCTGCACTAATCAAGAGACAATTGAAAAGCCGAGCCAGTTTGATCATCGTGTCCAGAGAGCCAGATCGGCAGACAGAGGTGGTGGCGTTTGTGGTGTTGGGCCTGATTTCAGCGACTCTGAGGACTCTGCGGTTGTTGAGTTGTTGGTGACCTTAGGATGGGTTTTGTTTCCAGGGAGCTCGCTCTGGTTTGCACTTTTTGTTTTCCTTTGTTTGTAAAATAAATCTATTTTTTTGTTGAACAAACAAAGCTCACGGGGACGTAACAGCATGCTAAATTACATTTGACCTCTTCTGGAACAACATCCAATTCAAATTTATCACCAACACCTGTAGTGCACTGTCTGTACTGTGTTTCCTCACTTGTCTATACCAGGGGTCGGCAACCTTAAACACTCAAAGAGCCATTTGGACCCGTTTTCCATGGAAACGAAAACACTGGGAGCCACAAAACCCCTTTGAAATCTAAAATTAAGATAACACTGCATATACGGTTTTTACCTTTATGCTATGTATAAAAAAAACTTGTGTGTTGCATTTATGAAGTCAATGAACTGCTACAGAGAAAACTACATTTTATTTCTGCAACAAAAACATTTTTAATTCCAACAACAACAAAAAAAAGACGCTGGGTTGA